ATATATATATATATATATACAGCCATTCTCACACTGTGGGTGACTGAAGCTGAAGTACCTGCAAAAAAAAACCACACACTCAAGGGTAGAACAGGAGAACGCCATACAAAAAGACTGGAGATCGAACCTATGATCTTCTCGCTGTAAGGCAACTTCTTCCACCGTGTGGCCTCTATGAAGTGATTGTTTTTGTTGTTGTTGTTTTTACAGTAATAAAACATTACCTGTGTATAAACTCCAGGAAAGCCCGGCTGACCACACCTCTCCCCCCAGCTGACGATGCCCCACAGGTAGGACACGCCCAGCTCGTCCTCGCAGACCAAGGGACCACCACTGTCTCCCTGACACGAGTCCACGCTGCCGTCCAGATCACCTGGGTCAAACCAAATAGGTAATCAGTTAGAGTGAGCTCCGGTCCGTCCCTACAATTGTTGACCGCGTGGTGGCAGTGTGGAGGCGGAGGAGCAGCACACACTCACCTGCACACATCATTCCTGGCTTGAAGCGATGCTTGTAGAAACTCTCACAGTTTTCGATGAGGGAGACGTTGGCCCAGAGCAGAACCCGAGCAGCTTTGCCCTCTAGAACACAGTCATGAAGATGAGAACACACACACACACACACACACACACATGTTCACCTCTTTTGTGTGGAGTCCGTACCCGCGTTTCGCCCCCAGCCGGAGATGCTGCAGGTGTGATTGGGCTGGAAGAGCTGTGTAGACCAGGGCACACAGACGGCGCTGATGGCCGGGTTGTCCACGAAACATTTGTCCTCAAATGGAAGTTTTTTCAACTTCAGCAGAGCGATGTCGTTCTCATAGGTCGCAGAGTCGAAACTGCAACAGTTATAATCAGTGACTTTAACGTCCAATAACGGGCTGACTGTGTTGAACCTCAGCTCCAGACCTGGGGTGGATGATGACGTCCTCAACGGGAACAATGTCTGTTGTTGCTTGAGCTTGAAACTTTTTCCAGAGAGAAAACTTGATTTTGTACAAAGTGGGACTCGGTCTGGAATCACAACATGGAAAGTCAACCCGAAGTCTCACACTTTTCATCATTGATCGTGGTTGTGTCTTGGTCGTACTTGACACAGTGGGCTGCAGTGAGTACCCAGCAGTCCCCGATGTATGCTCCGCCACAGTCAATCTTCTTGTTTTCCTGCAGCGCCACCTGCCACTGGATCTGAGTCTGCATTTGGAAAAAAAAAAAAACGAGAAAAAATACGAGTCTCTAAAAAAAGGCATCCAATGTGTTAAAAATCAAATTGAAAATTATAAAACTAAAAACTGTGGATGATACATGATGATTGTAACAAAATGTGTCACTGATTACATTTTAAAATAATTTATGTTTGGACGTACAAGTCATTGGTAGTATTTCATAATAATAATTCATCAACTATAATAATAGTTATAATTTTAAAATAAATTAATATAAACAAAAAAAAAGGACCAGGATCAGGACCAGGTGTGGGTCTGACAGACCGGTTTTGCTGGGACTCCTCCCACCACTCTCCTGACTCGGCTTGTCCTCCCTCGGTTCACCACCTCCTCATTATCCACCGTGGCGGCTTTGGGGATGCCACACTGTAACTTGGACTGCAAGTGGAGCCTGTCAGTTTGGATTTCTACACACACACACACACACACACAAACAGTCAGGTGTGATGAAGTGCTCCCTCTGGCGTCAGAGTTTTGGTAGACATACCATTTTTAGGTGACACAAACTGCTGCTCTGTGAAGAAATGTAGACGTCATCACTAACCACGTCAGCACTTCCTGTTTACATGATTATTGTGGTCATCATAGGAAATACCTGCTTTTCCAAGTCGCCTGAGTTCCTGATGCTCTGTAAAGAGTTAGAGATCAGTAACAACAGGAGTTAATACTGTGTGTGTGTGTGTGAACTAAACGGTCTCTCATTGGTTTCTTCCATTTCTTTTCACATCAACATCCTCTGTTTAAACTACGGAAACGTATTGCTGCCACACTGAAAAAAAAATCGACTCAGTTTCACGTAATTACGTGATAAGATTCACGTAATAACGTAAAACATCACGAAAAAACGTGAAACGTATTACGTAATTACGTGAAACTGAGCCGGTGTGGCAGCAATACGCTTCCGTATCAAACAGTACAATATTCCATTAAGAAAATATTTGAATTGTACGACACCTTCGTTCTCTCCGCTGACTGTGTGTTTGGGCGACTCGTCTTCACCATCCAGACAGTCAATGGTTCCGTCTAACAGCGCCGCCTTTTGGACACACACACCAGTCTTGCAGCGAAAACCTCCACTCCGACATTCTGAAACGATGAAAGATGAATTACTAATAAACCCAGGTGTGTGTGTGTGTGTGTGTGCTAACACTAACTTTTGCAGCACATTTCGTCGCTGAGGTCCCCGCAGTCGTCCACTCCGTCGCACGTCCTGTTCTTTGGGACACATTTCCCGTTTGCGCAAGTAAAGCTGCAGTTTGACGCTGGAAGTAAATATGGCTAACAATTAGCACCTTCTCCTCCTAGTCCATTTAATTGTCCTTTTCATATGTTATATTTCTAAGACAAATATCTACGAGATACCTATAGTTTGAGCTAACCATGAACAAAATAAATTGTAATACCGGGAATTTAAAAAAAAGAACCACGGTACCAGGTACTATAAATAAAATGACTGTAAGGATTACTGGAGACTAAACAAAAACTATAGTACAAAGAATTAATACTAGGCATTTTAAAAGGAACTATAGAATAAAAAAACTACAGTCACAGGAGAAACAGAACAAACAATTAAAAACGTAACTTTAGCAGAAACGTAAACGGAACTACAGCACTCAACAACTAATAAGAGCAACTGAAAAAAACTGACATAAAAGAAAAGGGTCTCAGGCACCAGGTACGAACCAAGGAAGCCAACTTAAGCTCTTTTGCATATCCTTTAACTATTTTTGGCTAATTGGCCGATTTAAGCTAATCGTTATTAGTCGTTACTCAGCAGATTGTGGAACTCCAGGACATTAACATATATATATTTTCACAACATGTTTGGCTAATCTTTAACACGTTTTAAGCAAACCATTAACAGAGTTTTATATTGTTTTGTTTTGTTTTTTTTGTTGTTGCCAATTTTGCTAAAATACCTAGGGTTTTTTTTTGTTGCCAATTTTGCTAAAATACCTAGCTTTAACAGAGGAGATTTTGTTAGCATCAAAGCAACCAGACCTTTTTTGCTGTCGTAACACGAGACCACTGCGACGCTATCCTTAATGACAGCCTTGTTGGAGATAACACATTCGGCTAGAGAGTTCTCATAACCCTGGCAGTGTACTTTGACGCAGACCTCTGGAAGCTGCGTCCTATTCATGTCTGCCCTCAGGACATGGTAGGACATGGTGCCAGCTTCTGCTGCACCCCTGGATACAACACAGCAAAACAAACACAACAAATCATCAACAAAGACTCAGAGCAGTTGACTCTGCTGCTCTGACCCAACGTTGTACTTTTTATAGTTTAGCAACAAAATGGTTCGAGCAATAACAAGTGGAGTCCTGACTTGAAGTTAAAAACGTTAGCTTGATGTTTATTGGGAGCTGTGAATAGATGTTTTTGCACGTTTTTCTCACAGTGTTTCCTTTTTTCCTTTACAGGCCACGTTAGCTGCAGCCGTGTCCCACCACTGTGGACATATCAGGAGGTCGTCTCCGCCACCTTTTCTATTCACGTCAGGAAGGAAAACTCTGACCAATCCTGTGTCAGCCTCGATCGAACTTCGGAACTTGGGAAATTCAGCTGTGTCCAGACAATGAGACATTGAACTTCGCAATATAACAAAAAAACAAAAACAAAAAACAAAATAAGATAAAAGACAATAAAATGAGTAGCTGAAGGACAGACCTGAGCAGTTTTGACCAAAGTGAGACATGGCAGCCTTCTTGGTCAGACAGGACAGCGCCATCGCCTGGAGAAGTGGTATAAAGAAACACTTGTTACTGACAAGTCAAAATGTGAGTTTGTAATGATTGCGGTGGTGGGGTTGGACCTGGCAGTAGGACCAATATTTTAAGTTGTTGTTTCCACAGACTGAGGACATGTTCTCCTTAGAACACAGGTACGGAAGTTTACAGGAGCACTGTCCTTCAAAGCAGCGTTCCCACGGAGCACAGAAGACCAAGTCACAGGATGCTCGAGTATACCTGCCAGGGGGCGACAGAGAGCAGTGGAGAGATGGGTAACAGAGAAGAAGCAACGACTGAAGATGAGCGACTACCAGGAACAACAAATAGTACCAGGAACAACAAATAGTACCAGGAACAACAACAAATAGTACCAGGACCAGGAACAACAAATAGTACCAGGATCAACAAATAGTACCAGGAACAACAGGAAAAAGACAAAAGACAAATCACAGCACTAGGAATTACACACTGTTCCCAGAACAACGTCAAGCCTGGAACTACAGTCTGTACCAGGAACTTAGTGCAGAACAGAACCACAAACTAGAACCACAAACCACTTAGTGGACCTGTCATACCAGGAACAGAATACTAGAAGTGTTGTACCAGGAGCTGAAATGATCTGTGAGAGCAGGTACTAAAAGACGATTATAGTACCAAAAACCTCAAAATAACTATGCTACCAAGGTCAAGAGGAACTGAAGTACCAGGGACTGAGAGGGGGTTATAGCACAAGGAACTGAAAGGGGGACTACAGTACCAGTGACTGAAAACCAGAAAACAGTAGTACCAGGGTAGTACCATAGGTGAGTAACAGCTGGTGTGCAGTACTGAGTACTATGAGTACATTCACCACATAGGCAATTTCCTGGACTTGTTTCTACTTTCTGAGACTACAGTACGGTACAGTACAGTTCAGTAAGAGTACGAGGTACTGGTCCCAGGACCCTGGAGTTAACCTGGAGAATACGTGTGAAAAATAGTTCTTCTGCATAATCTTCACTGAACTTTCATCACATTAGAAAGTGGCACTGCAAATTTAGAATGACTAAAAATGGTTCCTGGTACTATTTCATTGAATGAACTAACTTCTTCTGCAGGCACTGCTCTGGACCCAGGAACTCATCTTCGTGCAGCGTCTCCTGGGGGGCAGACCTGTTGATGTTAGGAGACTCAGTCTGTGTTGACGTTGATGTTGGAGCCTTTGGTTTCGTATGCTGGTAATATAGACTTTGAGGATCTGTTGAAATTGACTGTCGGAAAACAGAGTTAGCTGTAGACAGCCTTACAGTTAGCTGAAGATAGCATGAATAATAAAGGTAAAAGTTAGCTTCAATTGTTAAAGTGGAGCTAGGAAACATCAACAAATCAGATAAATAGTAAAGGATAGCATGCATATAATTATTTTATTAATATTTTTTAAATTTCAAATTAAAAAAAAAGTTGATATTTAGATTCAAACATAAGCTTAAGAGTGTGTAAACGTTGTGTGAAGTTAACCAAGGAAAACTGGCTAGAAATCAAACCAAACTGAAGGATTAAAAAATGCTAACATTAAATCAAATGATTTTACTCACGGCTTGAAGGCAGCAGCAGAAGATGAGAAGAAGAAGAAGAGGGAGAACCAGAGCAGCTGGTCTCATGTTGGATCTCATGATTTTCGCTAAATTCTTACTCTGTTTAACCTTTAAGGTACATGAGAATTTCTGGGATTTGACGCGATGTTGGATCTCCAGCTTCTCTGAGTCTGACCAAAGTTCCACCAAAAAATGTCATTATCTGCTCTGCGCTGTCATCGATCAATGCATCTGTCAGTCATTAGCTTCAATATGACTCAACTCCACTTACTGTAACTAACTGGTCAGGGATTACACAATACACATATGCATTCATATGTATTTGTTTATACATTAAAAGCCATACAGTAAAAGTTGATAAGTTTTGACAAATGGCCAAGTCATAATATTGCAAGAAAAAAAATCAACTTTGTTGAATGAAAATTTGTTTTTGTAAACCTACAACTGTTTTTATCATAAAAATCCAACACAAGACCAATAAACCTACAACTTTATGTTCATAGATGTATAACTAGTTTTTATCATAAAAATCCAACAATACACTAACAACTTTATGTTCATAGATGTATAACTCTTTCTGCTAATCCAGGAACGTCATTCTCAGAAAGGTGCGCCTTTATTTTAGTGCCTTTTTATTGATATAATGACCTTATTCCTGTTACTAAAGAGATTTTATTTCCATATTATTATTTAATTTACATACATTTATTATATTCTTGTTATTTTTTCCAACAGCAGCTGGGACAGAGAAAAACATGTTAATCTTCAACTGTGTGTCAATAAAAAGAATTTCAGCATCGTTGCTTACCCAACTCTGTACACACACTGACTGTCTTCTTGTTGGACAAAAAGGTTTAAAGTTAGCTGAAAAATGTTAACGAAAGATAAACCTCTGATGTTTTGACTTAAATAAAGACAGATTCAATGAAGTCCAAAACTTACTCGATTGGCCCAAAAGACATGGGACATGGGCAGTTGGTCAGAAGTTGACCAAAAGGTCACAAGACAGCTGACAATCAAAAGGCTGATGGAAACTGGATATCATTTCTAAGAAGACTGGCCTAAAGACAGACAAAAACTGTTGAGACAAGTCAAAAGGCAGAATCCAGTTAGCTTGTTTTAAACCGTACTGAAAATGCAGCCATAACATAAACTGATAGAAGTCATAGTTAGCATCAAGCTAGCTAAACAAGTTCAAATAAGTTCCCTTCAGGGCAAACCTCACAGTTTGCATTTAAAACAGATTTCACAAGATGATAATTATGAGTTGTTCCAAGACGTGGACAAAAAGAAGTTACATTAACAAGAAACACAAGTTTAGAGTTACATATGGTTAGCTAGACGATAATGTCCAGTCACATGAGAAAGATGTGACGATAGTAGCACTGGGTACAGCAGTTAGATGATAGCCAATGAAGGCTAACATGAGTCAATGAGTTTTAATCTAAGCTGCATATTCACAGATTAATATAATAGAATAATTATAAATAATAGTGTATATATATAAATAATAGTATACATAAATGATAGTTATAGAACTAAGAACAGCAGTTGAAGACAACAACACCCACACACAATCAATATGTTTGCTTGTGTGTGGGTGAGGTTACTGTAAGCCAATGGCTCTGCACCGCTGTATACGAACAAAAAATAAATAAAAATAAAAATTGGAAAAAAATAAAATTAGTCGAACAACCTTGTTTGGTAGATTAAATAATTTGTGTAAAATCAATGATTTACACTGTCTTGAGTGACATAAAGTGACCACATGGGGCAGCAATGGACAGGCTAATAACAACGACTGGTGATAGAAATCCCATCAAAAACAATTAGCTGTTTTGACAAAAAAGATGCAACTCTATAGAAATGAGTCTTTACAGTCATTTAATGGGTTGTTTATTTTTAAATATTTTACACAGACTAAGAACAACATTTAGGTTAATATAGTCAAACTAGAACAGAAGATAAAGGTAATAAAATAATAATTTATTACAATCCAATATATTTTGTAGTTAAAAACTAGGCCACATGTTGACTACTTTCCAGCTAAATATTTATCTTTCACTTGTAAATAGAAATTAAACTTACTTACTGCAAAAACATTCAATGACAATTATATTTAAAACCTTAAAGATTTTGGTTTGTTTAACCAGAATATAAAACATAAAGGTTTCATTACAAATGCAGTGTTTTGTCAAATGGTGCCATTTTACATTTAAAAAAGACACATTTTCACCTCCTTATCCAACATCTGGAAATAAATCATTACAGCATTTGTTGTGACAAAAGTGATTAATCTCTTGTGCATTTTTTCAGACAGAAAAAAAGCTCTTAGCATTCTTGAAGGCAGCTAACGGAGAAATGATGGCTTTGTAAAGTATATTGCACAGATTACATGTGATAATTGTGGGTGACATTTTTTATTGTTTATTGCATTGTGATATAACCGATATATTTGCCAACTGAGATATTAGGCACACATTAACATTATTAATGTTTTAGTAAATACAATGTATATTTTTTAGAAGCTAGCTTGTTTGTAGCATCATTACATTTTATCTTAATCTAACATCAGGGACATTGTTTCAGTTAAGAATAAGACACTAAACATTTTGTTCGTGTTAGCCGGCTCTTATTTAGCATTAGCTAAGGTCTATGCTGTTTGAGCAAAAACTTCTTTTGTGATCTTTTTTAATAAAAAGAATCTTTAATGTTAGCTTTGATCCGATTAAAACTTGTTCAGTTGCCTTTCTTAGCATTTCATTATAAATTGTTCTGGTCGATCAGCATGTTTATTCCACTAAAACCCAAACATTTTGCTTAGTTTAACTAGCTATTTTATTAGCTTTAGCTTAAGCCTGCCCTTTCTGGTATTTTCTGTGTAGTTTAGAGTAAAAACAGTTCAAATGAATGTTATTAAATATGAATTTATAATTGAATATCAGTCATTTTAACATCCGTCAGAACAGCTGCAGCCATGCACTTCTGCTAATGTTATCTAGAGTTTATGCTGTTCAGACCAAAACAGTTACTGAGCATCCTGAAGCTAAAGTGTTTGGTCTCTAAATCTTCTTCCTGTTGTCATCCCTGGGTTTACACTTTTTAATTTTAAGATTATCAGAAGTAAATTAAGTTAAGGATTTGTAGAAAACTACGTATTTAAAGTAATTTTTCACTAAAAATATTCATCTGTAAATAGCTGAGTTCGGCATCTGTGCTCAACAACAACTCAAATACTAATTGCAACAAAATGGATAGGAATCATTTGAATCATAATATTAACAAAAAACATTTTTACTGTTTTTTGTGTCCCCTGAAGCACAAAATATTCATCTTTACCTTCAATAAAAAATGAACAGTAAACCTTCATCCTCATGAGGAAAGAATATTAAAGTTAACATACACAAATGAAACAAAAGTGTCCACAAAAATACACATAATAAAGATTTTAAAAAAAGACAGAAGAAAAAAAACAAGATTTCCTAAAACTGTGATTTTTTTTCTTAAACTTTTTAAAAGTTACCATCAAGAAAACTAGAGGCAGCTTGTGGTATCAGACTTTTGTTTGACGTCAACATGACATTTAGCCAGACTTGAAAATGCTCACAAATGCTAGCACCAAGCTCAGGTCCTATTTTTTAAATCTCAAGAAAATCACAAAGTTAATCTTCTGACAGATACTTATTGTGTTGTGACATATTCACTTGTTGTTTTTAGGTCCAACACATTGTATAAGTGTTAGCTTGATGGTAACAGACGCGACGGTAGCATCATGCTAATATTTCGACGTAACTACACAGAGTCAGATGCTTATACTGTGATAAACTTTATTGCTCTTCTTTTCCGTAACAACAAAAAAAAAACCCTGAATACTCAAATAATCAATAAATAATATTTAACCTGTTGTGAGCTGGGTCTCTGGAGTGTGGTGAAGCTGTTTAACGTTAAATGTTGGCATAAAGTCAAACGCTAAGCTTTTCAAATGAAGAACAACATAATGCTTTCATGTTATTATTAAATAAATTAAATTACGCAAGGCCTCTTAGATGGTTGTGTAATTTAATCAAGGTCTTTTGAAGTGCAAACTAAACAAAGCTAACATGCTAACTTCCAACTTGAACCAGAAAGTTGACCTCTTGAGAACATGACGGTACAAAATTGGGACCAGTGGAAATCATGATGTGGGTTGAGTGGGTAAAAATGCAGGTGTGGTTCAATATATTGACTGTTAGCTTCAATGCTAACTCCTCACACTGACACCGTGGTATTGCACATGGAGATACAGCTGTTGCTCTCTTGTAAGTGTTTTTTGAATTTTTGAGAAATTATAATAATTATATTGACCAACTTCAGACTTATTGCATCAAACATTTAAACATTTCAGACAAATCACTTCAAGGCACAGAATACACACAAACACAAACTGGAGTAATATAAATATTTTGGTCCTTGAGGTCATACATTCATCGGAGAAGGAAGGGCTATGATGTCATCAACTCCAGCGTCTGAGTCGCAGTTTTAGCTATAAAACACTGGACGCACGTATCAATATTTCTGCCGTGCCTTGATTGGCTGTTATTAATGTAAGGACGGGCTCTGCCTTTTGAAATGTTTTAAAAGCATGCGTCATAATGATTATACGATCATTTAAATAATATTATCTTTTATCAAAGTTTTTTTTTTTTTTTTTGGAATTATTTGTGGTCAGAAGAACCAAATTATCATACAGATAAAGTCACCATATTTGATCAATTCAGCGTTTTTGGAATAGTTGATCTTTCAAAACGTTTGTTAAAACTACTTTACACATAGTAGAATAAAAAATGTGTCTGTAATATAGTTTATATTTCTATCACAAATGTTAATGTGGCTGGACGGGAGGTTGTGCTTCTTCATTACCAAATAAATGAGTGTCCGTTTGTAAGAACAGATGTGCGGGTTCACACTAACATTTCTTCTTCATTGGAGTGAACTCAGATTGAAGCTAGCTTTAGCATATCCACACCACTGTCTGATGTTAGAGCCATTGCTAACAGGTCGACACTTCATTAATTGCAGAGGTAACGTTTATGCGCGTTGTTTAGCAAAAGCCAATATGCTAAGACTACGATGAGCATATTAGATTCTTTTATTAACAGCAAAAATGCTAATGCTAACATGTGTTTGAAGAATTTCTGAATCTTCTCTCTGAGTTTGGAGTGTCTACCTAGTGCTAGATTGGTATTGTTTACTATTGTTTGTGTGTTTGTGTGTGTGTTTGTGTACTGACATGATAACAACAGGCAAAAGATGAGTTTTAAATAAATAAAATTGTTTTTTTTAACAAGGTGAGCGTTTTGAACCAAAGTGCTCCAACAACAAGCGAACGGACAATAAACAAATAAATAAAGAAAGATGAAAAAAATGAAGAAACTGAACTGAAGTGAGGTTTGAGCCACAGTTCAGCTCATCTAACCTCACTGCAGCCTGTGCTGCTCAGGCTCTGGGAACATCGCAGCATTCCCAAGTCCCAGCCTCAGACTTGGAATACCGGGCACGGAATTCCCACCAGTGATCCTCACCTGGGAATAATGGTCAGGGCGTTCCGACGGGGGATCCTCTCAGACTGTTCAATGCAGCATGGATCCTGAAGTGAAGCCTGGACTCCATGGAGTAATCTTTGTAGTTGGTCCTGATGGAGAACAGACAAGAACAGACAAGAACAGACGGGCGATTCTTTTTGGTTCGACTCTGAACTCTTTTTATTCTTTTATATACTTTCATGAGATATAACAACCCTGAATGAATCCCTGCAGTGTGACTGAGGACCGAGAGGGATGGGGACTGGGACAAGGACGATGAGAATATCAATGCAGGTGTGGGATCAGATCAGGCTAAAGATCAGGATTAGGATGAGGATGAGGTTGAGGTTCAGCACGAGAATAATGTTGGTGATCTTAAAGACGATGACTAAGATGATGAGGGTGAGAGTGAGGGTGAGGATGATGAGGGTGAGGATGATGAGGGTGAGGATGATGAGGGTGAGGGTGATGAGGGTGAGGATGGTGAGGGTGAGGATGAGGAGGGTGAGGATGAGGAGGATGAGGGTGAGGATGATGAGGATGAGGATGGGGGTGAGGATGAGGGTGAGGATGACGGTGAGGATGAGGAGGGTGAGGATGGGGGTGAGGGTGAGGATGGGGGGGGTGAGGATGAGGTTCAGCATGAGAATAATGTTGGTGATCTTAAAGACGATGACTAGGATGATGAGGGTGAGGGTGAGGATGAGGAGGGTGAGGATGATGAGGGTGAGGGTGAGGATGATGGGGATGAGGATGATGGGGATGAGGGGGAGGATGAGGGTGAGGGTGAGGGTGAGGGTGATGATGAGGAGGGTGAGGGTGAGGATGAGGAGGGTGAGGGTGAGGATGATGATGAGGAGGGTGAGGATGATGATGAGGATGATGAGGGTGAGGATGATGAGGGTGAGGATGATGAGGGTGAGGAGGGTGATGATGAGGAGGGTGATGGTGAGGAGGGTGAGGACTTACTTGGCGTTCTCGATGTAAGCAGCAGCTTTGGTAACATCTCCCTGTTGTTTGTACAACAAACCCAACTCATAGAGAGTGAAGGGAATCAGGTAGTGATCGAATTTGATCCTGCTTTCACTGCAGCACACACACACACACACACACACACACACACACACACACAAAAGTATTTTGTCACAAAATGTATTTTACTCTCTCTGAATGCTAGCTTTATTCGTGTGTGTGTGTGTGTGAGACTGACCTGGTCAGCACCTGTGTGAAGCAGAGCTCAGCCTGCAGTAATCTGCCCAGGTGTTTCAGACACAGTCCCTTCAACATCTGGACCAGACAGCTGTCGTCTTGATGAAACTCAGACGGGTCTTAGAAAGAAAGAAATTCAACTGTCAAATGTTAAATGAAAAGGAGGATTTTCTGACAACAAAACCAGCGCAGCACGACGACGTTGAACCCACTGGTGTCATTCTGTAGCTGGATCTCAGCAGATTCGATGGTGATCAGCAGAGCTTCCGTGCAGTCGGCTCGTTTTCCCACGATGCTGAAACCGTTCCACATGTACATCATTTCCTAAAGAGAGAGAAAAAGAAAAGAATGGACGTCATTTCTCTTATTCCAGGGCTCCAGACTTTATGATGGGGACAGAGCATATATACTGCACATCATATAAGACACACACACAGTCTGTGTCTGTGTCTGTGTCTGTGTCTGTGTCTACAAACCAGAGCTGGTAAGACCAGAGGAATCATGTTTGCAGTTTTGTAACGTCTGGATTTTCTCACTGCGAACTTCTCAGTAGGGATAGACTTTCCAGCCAGACGTTGTTTCAGACCCTCCACCTGCCTACACACACACACACACACACCCACACACACACACACACACACACACACACACACACACACATGGATTCGTGTTTATGCGGTGACTGGATGTTTCAGTTTCAGTCAGGTGTGTGAACTGACCTGAAGAGGAGGACCACGTCTTCTCCCGTTCTCCTCAGCTCCTCCTCTGACATCATACTGAGGATGGCTGCCTTCTGGTACACATAGATGGCCTGGAGAACAACACACACACACACACACACACACACACACACGCAGGAGTCATTGGCAGTGGTGCTGGGAGGTTTGATGGTACCAGGAGCCATTGTCACTCACTGAACTACCTGGACCTAGGAACAACGTCAGGACCTTGAATATATATAGAAGTAAAGTAGCAGCACCTTAACACATGTTCACTCTCAGAACTGTTGCTCTCAGTTGCCAAGTACTAGTGTTGATCTAGTTATCTTTGTTGTCTTAGAGTCTTTGTAACAATGGCCTGGGCTCCACAGAAGATTCTAGAACCAACGGATCTTTCATCAAGCTCTGGTACTATTGACACCCGGAGAAGCAAACCAATGATTGGTGGAACCTGTGTTCACTGACAGAGGAACAGACACTGTACCTTGGACCAGCGGCTCTCCTGACACAGCAGCTCAGCGTAGTGATAGGCCTGCTGCCACTGCTGCTGGTACGAGTGAGTCCACATCAGCTCCCAGTAACAAAGATGGTGGATCTGCCTCCACTCCTGCTGACTGCTGATACACTCCTCGTATCTGCTCTGAGCCTGCAGCAACAACAACAACAACAACAGCAACAACACACTTCAAACATGGGGAAACGTCAAACTTTTTCTTTCCAAAAGTCATTTCCTGTTTGTTACAGATATGGTCGTCATCTTTACAACACAAAGAGGGACAAAACTCATCAACTGGAGCTAACTTTTACTAGATTTTTTTTCGGTGCTATTTTAGATTTTTTTTTATCTTAAGTTAATAATATCTTTACCTCAAACTAATATCTGACATATTTTAATTAGGTTACTACGGTACCTTCTAGAAAGTGGTTCTATATTGAGTTCAACTTTGAGTTCCTTTACATTTTGTTTTTGGCATTTGTAGTCAACAGTTTTACTAACTTTTAGCTATTTCTGGGCTTACCCTCTCCCCCTGTTCTGTTTTTGGTACTCTTTTTTTTAAAGTAAAAGTAGAAATAAAAACAAATGTGATTTTATCAGGGACCTTCTCAAAGTTTCCTCTCAGCGTAGAGATGCGAGCAGAGTAGAAGAGGATGATGGAGCCCTGGAAGAACACAAATGAAAAAACAGTTCAAATATAAATGCGTCTGTCATCTTTAGCACACACAGCTAGGTAGTTTTTTTTTTTAGTCGTCAACATACTTTGGGGTATTTGTGCTGATAAGGCTCCAGCAGAGCTTCTGCCTCCGTCAGGTTTCCTTCACCAGTTCCTGATCAAAGACATTTACACTGTCATTTTCAGAGGTTAGAGGGATTTTTAGAGCATTCTCTAAAACGCTTGCCACTGTTTAGCTAGCTGCTTTAGCTTTACTTTACTTTAATTTTAACAATTACTTTGCAATTTCAGCCTTTACTCATGGATACATGTGCAAAATAAATTGTAAAACAGAAACATATTTTGTTTTTATTTTCTCACCAAGTATGAGTGAAACGTAAGTGTTGTAAAAAAGGAGTGTCAGAGAACAGAGGATAGATCTGAGACTGTGACTGGAGGCACCTTCTCTCAACATGGACAAACCAAAACCCTGCAAGAAGAAGCAGAACAAATGTCAGAAGCAGGAAGTTCATCTGCTCCGTGAGAAATCATTTATAGTAGAATGTGAAACTCACTCGGTTTCCTGAGAATCCAATAAATTCCAGTAACCTCAAAATCCTCTGAGGAAGCAGCGACAACATCTGTAGAGACACAGACATATATTTATATATTAGTTAGAGTTCATCTTCAAAACACAGTTCAAACCGCTCTCAGAGCACTTTGTTCTGTATTTCACTAAAACAGAAGATTCACCAATATGCTGATGACACCAGAGTGTTTTTATGTACTCTGTATTTATGCTGATGACACCAGAGTGTTTTTATTAAGCACAAAAGGTGGTTTTTTTCTTCTCAATGGTGACAAAAATATAATGTTATAATAATTACTGCTTCACAAATACCTGATGTTTAAATGAAGAATGCTGTAAACAAATGTCTGTCAAAATAAAACAATAGTTTACGGAAAAACTCACAAGGTTGAAGGAGCCAATGCCCAGCTTGACCCCGCCCTCAAACTGTCTGAATGAATCGGATTGGTTCGCCTGGTCCTGAGTGGCATTCAGAACATTCTGACAGTCTCTGAAACACATATCAAGAAAGAAAGGCAAAAATGTTAAAAAAATAAATAAAATCATTTAAAAATAAATAAAAAAAGATTAATTGAACTGGGATGAATAGAAATAAAACAAATAATGACACATTTAAATGTTAACTGGGAAACAAAGGGATTCTATAAATATGAAAATAATATATGGTTAGCCAAGAAGAAAATAGAAAGAGCTTAAAAAAATCATTATTATAATTACATAATTATATCACATAATTTAATGTAAATACTAGAAGTATGCAGAATATGTATTAATATACGTGTTCATATGTATTAATATATGTGTATGTATTAATATTTGTATTGAATAAAAAACCCCTAAATGTTAGCCAGAGATTAGCTAAACCTTATTTAAAGATAATTAAAGGAGTAACCACGTAAAGTGACAATTATCATTAATTATTTAGCAAAGACGATTGCTAACGGTTAGCCAAACAACTGTCAACATTGTTGTACAGTATCTAAAGCGTCTTATTGTCTGACTTGTAGATCTGGTAGCTGGTCCTGATCTTGATTCCTCCTTTGATGAAACTGATCATGTTTTCATCCTGTAGGATGAAAGAAAATAAAAATAAAATTCATATTCATTTCACTAGGGGGCAGCGTTTATATAGTGGCCATGAGGGGAACTGCACTCAGCAGCACGGTGGCTTCACTGGTACCTGGACGAAGGTGAGCGTGGCTTTTTGCAGGAGACACTCAGCGTAACAGATCTCTGCATGCATCTCCTCTGAAAACACAACCACAACAATGAGGCTGTTCTGTTCACAGGTCTGTCAAAGACGGGGGGCAGGGCCCTGTTTGTGTTCATACCTTCCTGGAGGTTGGACTGTTTACTGATCAGACTGGAAAGAGATCCGACCATGGAGTTCTTCTTCCTGAACCTGAACATAGTCACAGCACGTTAGAAAAAACTGGAGAGAGAGACACTGTTTTACCAATGTTGTAATCCTGACCTCATGTTTGGACATTTTTAGCGTTCGTCTCTAACCCCAATGGTAATGGTAACATTTATACTGACACTAACAATAAAACCAACTGTAAAAATAACTATGGCATCAACCCTAAGCCAAAAGGTGAAATATAACACCTTACACTCTGAGTCAGTCGATGCTAATTTATATGCTAACACTGAGGGGGAAAAAAGAACACTAACCGCGATATTAGAGGTCACGCTAGTGCTAATACAAACGCTCACCCTGATGATGGGTCTGCAACCAACACCGAATGCTCACCCTGTTATTGATGATGGGTCTGCAACCAACACCAAATCTAATAACACGGGTGCTAATATGGATGCTAACAGGTGCATCCTCACCTCTGGCAGGTGTTTAGTGCCTCCTTGATAGTTGCCATGGCAGCCTGAATATCTCTGTGCTCAAAGGTCATGGTGGCCTGCATCACCAGGATGCTGCTGTATCCCAAGGCGTGGTACATGCTGTCCTTCCACCTGGAACCACACACACACACACACACACACAGAGTATAGAGTAGATGTTTGAGCTCAGAGGGCTGGAGTTAGTGAGGGTGAGGGTGAGGTTCTACCATGGTTTGAGAAGGTCCAGAGCTTCAGAGAACTTGTTGTTGAGGACCAGGTTGAGAGCACACTGAGTCTCCTGGATGGAGGTGTGAAGGTCCATGTGACAGGCCCTGCACACGAGCAATCAAACCACGATCAACCACACATCTGACAGGTAGGTGTCAGTGTGGCTGTAATCGATGACAGGATGTGATGTAGAGGAAGTGGAGGCTCATACTCACGCTGGGATCTTGTCATAGGCATCTTCAAAACAGTCCTGGGAAAATAAGAAAATAACATCAGCATTTAAATGTTTAGAAATTGCACCAAAACTATTTTGCGCAGTTTTGTATTTGGCTAACTTTTAGCTAACACATACAAAGAGCTTTTTTCAACCAAAATCTTGAGGTCACATTTATTTCTCATTAGTTTTGTTGTGGCTTTATGAAGATGTCAGGCCTCCTGGCATCAGTTTTGTGTTTTCCAGTATTTGTGGGTCGACCTGTTGTTGTTGTTTTAGACAGTTTGACCTTTGTGTCTGACTACAACCTATGCATTAGCTTCCTTTCAGCCGTCTCTCCAAGTGAATCATAGTTACTCATTAGTGAAGCAATTCCTCTGTAATATTTTTATGACGTGATTAATCACATGCACATGCATGTTTGGTATTGCTGTACAAATATATAATCATCAACACCCTGTTGTTCCTCCACGGCCGATGTATTTCATCAGAATTCATATTTAACCGGCACACGTTTTGAACAGCATTATGA